GCGTGGCCAATTCCCCCTGGGGTACAGCTGCAGTAAACATGTCAGCACTAACGCCTCCAGCGATCAGCTCGGCGAGTCAGAGTTAAAACTAAGTTGGTAAGGGGTGTAGCGCACCCTGTGATCAGGACTGTCTTTTTGTCTGCTGGGATGCCCATTCTGTCGATACTGCACTGGAAGTAGATGTCGAACGGTGGAGAACGAGGAAGCTGTGGTGAAAGCGTTAAACGTGTCAGCTCTCAGACCATTTTACGAGATGAATCCCGAGGTAAATTGAGCTTAAATTGGTCAAGAGAGACATGTGGGCCGCTCATGTCCGCAGCCCGCGGATTTCCGCCCAGTACCACATTATTCGGCCGAGTCCTTAGTAATCTACTGGATAAGTCCATGCAATAGGAATCAAGAACCCCGGGCGAAGGGTTTCGACGCTTCGACCAGTCGCATGGCAGAACGACTCCAGTATGGTCTTTTGAGACACTCACCATAAGGACTCTTGAGCACCCGTAGGCCGTAGCATGGGCTGAAGACTCGAGAAGACACCAAAAGCTTAGCAATATGCTGTTATGTGCTGAGCGGTGACTAGGTCAGAAGCCTACAGTTGACAACTTGTAAGGTAGCGAAGATGACGTGCTGCTAGCTCCAAGGCCTTGTGTGACTTTCTAGCGGCAAAAGTCGTGTTTTTAACGGGCCATTTGTGCCGGTGCGACAAGGTCGGAAAGTCGGGGAGTTTCCAGGTTTCCGTGCCATCATATGTTTTGCCAGCCGACGGGATCAGAAGTTCGCCGCGGAATGTCGGCCACGATCTTTGCTCTCGTGAGAACGTTTTGCGATTGCCCCTCTTGGCTGGCAGCCTGGCTGCGGTCTATCCGCGTATCGAATCCACCGATAGATCAGCTACGACTGCACACAATCAAAAGTACCAACTACGAGTCTGGAAAACATGGTCGCGTCATGCGTCAGCTGTGTGCATGGCCCCCGCACGTCACATTGCGGAGAAGCTGGGGAAAGGGAGCATGGTGACGGGGTTCTTGGAACTACCGACAAATCATTGCGGGGTCGCGAGTCTCTTGGGTTGCATGCTAATTGTTTGGACATCGGTTCATCCCATGAGGTTCAGAACTCAACCGTTATGCTTATTTGTTCCAAAGCAAGCAATTCTGCGATGGCAGTTGGTTCAGTCTTGACTCACTAATCTTTGCTTACACTTGTGAGCCTCCAAATTGCTAATAAGACGCCAGCACTCGCGTGCCATTGTTATTTGAAGGTTTGGGCAGTTAGATGGGACAAGTACCCTGGTGAGTTCCTTGCCGTGGGCCGGATTATCCGGCTTTTGGTGTAAGGCCAAGAGCCCCCATTAAGATCAACACCCGATCCTAGATGCCGTCAGAAGGTGTCAAGGATCCTACCTCACAGTCTGGGGACCCCGCAAACTGATGGCAAGATCCACAGACTTCGGGTTGATTAAGACGAGCAGAGGGGTTAGGAATGCCTAGCTAAGGCTAGCACTCAAGCATAACTTCGACAACGGGATAGCGACGGCCGAGTAACTGCAATAATGTTTGAGTTATGGCAAGTTCAAGGGTATGGATACACGGGTGAATGCTCCCCGACAAGCCTCGGTGGACTTGGTATAAAATGATATTATTTAATGTCCTCCTAGGGCCACAATATATAGTATATATAGCCTAAATTGCGGCATCATTTAGCGGTTGTCGATACAAGCCTTTCTAAGCCTTTATTCGCTAAGTTGGGTGGAGTTATTCAAGTACTCTCTCTTCATCATGGCTGTTTTGATATCTCAGCTTTCTTTCGAGCACCATCGACAAGCTCTTGGCATTGCCGAATCAGAGCCTCGCATCTCATGGCGATTCTCTGGCAATGCCGTTGACTGGGAGCAGAGCGCCTACGATCTGGAAATTCTCAAGGGGTCAGATCCCCCAACCATCCACAACTTTAACTCGACTGAGTCTCTCCTTGTTCCATGGCCAGCGGCAGCTCTAGAATCGGCCGAGCAAGCTAGAGTACGAGCTCGGGCCCACGGTAGACCTGGCCAACTGTCTACACCCTGGTCAGATTGGGTCACGGTCGAGACCGGGCTCCTCAACTCTTCAGATTGGGCCGGGGCTGTCCCCGTCGCTGCCGAAAGGGAGACTGAAGTTGAAGCTCCTAAACGTCCGGTCTATTTCAGAAAACCATTTCTTGTCAACGCCAATGTCACTCGTGCACGGCTCTACATTACCGCATTGGGGCTTTACGAAGCAGAGATCAATGGCCGTCGGGTTGGTGATTATGTTCTTGCCCCCGGATGGCAATCATATAACTACCGGCATGTGTACGATACCTACGACGTCACGGAACTTATTTCCAATGGAGACAATGCAATTGGTGTTGCAGTCGGTGAGGGATGGTTCTCTGGTAGACTCAGCTACGGTGGCGGTGTCAGAAACAATTATGGAGACACCATCGGCCTTCTCAGTCTCCTAGTCGTCACTCTTGAAGATGGCACCAAGATTATGGTGCCGAGCGACGCGACCTGGAAAGCTAACACTGGTCCACTTATCACTTCCGAGATTTATAACGGCGAACATTACGATTCCACACTAGAGGCAGAGCTGGAGGGGTGGTCATCTGCAGGATTTGCCGCCGACGACTGGCTGGCGGTGCGAGAGTTACCCGCACTCAAAGGCGCTTTAGTCCCTCCCGATGGACCTCCTGTCAGACGACTTGAAGAAAGAAAGCCCGAGTCCATCTTCGCATCTCCGTCTGGCAAGACGCTTATCGACTTCGGGCAAAATCTTGTGGGCTGGCTGAGACTTACGGTCTCTGGGCCTACCGGTACGAACATCACTCTCCACCATGCCGAAGTTCTCGAGGATGGGGAGCTCGCTCTTAGACCACTTAGGATTGCCACGGCGGCTGACTCTCTTATCCTGCACGGTAACGGCACACAAACATGGGAACCACGTTTTACCTTCCATGGTTTCCGTTATGCTCAAGTCGATGGTTGGCCACAGGAAACTCCTCTTACCGCTGACTCCGTCACTGCTGTTGTTGTCCACAGCGACATGGAGCAAACCGGCTGGTTCGAATGTTCCAATCAGCTTCTCAACAAGTTCCATCACAACGTGCGGTGGTCCATGAAGGGGAACTTCTTATCGATCCCCACCGATTGCCCGCAACGTGATGAGCGACTTGGATGGACTGGTGATGCTCACGCCTTTGCTCCAACGGCCAACTACTTGTACAACGCTGCTGGTTTTTGGAGAGGCTGGCACAAAGACATCTGGTCAGAAATGCAGCGAAACAACTCAATGGTGGTTCCATTCACCATTCCAACGATCCCCCCTGGAGGTCCCGCTACTCCTGCCGCAGTCTGGGGAGATGTAGCTGTCGCGAACCCCTTCAACATTTACCAAGCATTTGGTGATGTTGGTCTTCTCGAAGAGCAATACCTTCAGTCTCAAGCCTGGATTGATACGGGCATCAGCCGTAACGACGTTGGGCTTTGGAACCGCAGCTCTTTCCAATTTGCCGATTGGCTTGACCCCAAGGCCCCCTCAGATGCCCCGGGGAACGCCACCACTGCGAAGCACCTGGTCGCCGATGCGTATTTGATCCATATGACTGATTTCCTCGCCAACATGTCTGCAGCTTTGGGACGTGACGAAGCGGCCGACCAATACCGAACTCAACGGAAGGATCTTATCTCAGCGTTTCACGACGCCTGGATCCAGGATGGTGTCCTCGCAAACCAGACTCAGACTGCGTACGCCATGGCTCTCAACTTCGGTTTGTTCACTGATGAAGAACAGCAATCAGCTGCTGCCGAGAAGCTGCGACAGATCGTTGCAGACAATGACTACCTTGTTGGTACAGGCTTTGCGGGCACTCCGCCTCTCGGGTTTGCTCTCAGAGACATTGGCGCCACTGAAGACTTCTATCGCATGCTTCTTCAGACTCGAGTGCCTTCTTGGCTATATCAGGTGGTTCAAAATGGGACAACCACTTGGGAGAGATGGGACAGTCTTCTCGCAAATGGTAGCGTCAATCCTGGCGAGATGACCAGCTTCAACCACTACGCGTTTGGCTCCGTTGCCAACTGGATGCATCAAGTCATTGGTGGTATTGCTCCTGCGGAACCAGGCTGGAAGCGAATCACTGTTGCCCCGATTCCTGGCGGCAACATTACCAGTGCTGATTCGAAATACATTTCACCTTATGGAGAAGTTAAGGTCCAATGGTGGTTCGAAAATAATGAGGAAGAAAATGCCGTGCATCGTAATGGATTCCACATGGTCGTCGAAATCCCTCCTAACACAAAGGCTGACATCACGATGCCCAATGGGGGGAAGTCAACTGAAGTGGGTTCTGGATACTATGAGTTCCATGATCCAAGTTATGTTTTAGTTTGATTCTGTCCATCCAAATCCTGTTCTTGTCTACCCGTCAACGAGTTCTGCGGTTCGCCCATTCAATTCTGTTTTGTCTCAGCGGGTGAATGATACAATTTTAGGCAACTGAAGTCTGTACCAGCTTGGTGAACCAATGTCCCATGTGCCTCTGACTACCGCCAGTATTTTGGTCTCACCTTGAACTGACGTACGAGTTTGACACTGGTGTAAAGTAGTGAATTGCCCGGAAACCCCTCCTCAGCAACCTGTGGCCTAAGCCCGTTGAGAAGGGGTTTTCATGAGTATTCGGGCTAGGATTTGGAATAATTCAATAGCATGATCGAGCAGTGGTCTTAGACCTTAGTACTTAAGACTTGATTGGACCTGAATCGAGACTTCAATGTGCAATCGTGGTTGTATTCAGTCAACACTTCTCGTTCTAGAGGGAAACACTAACGTAAATATCGCGCTGCGCCCCCAACAACTCAGTATTTGCGATTGATCCCGAGTGATCTTGAGCCTCATTATCCCTGGTTTGTGTTCTCTTGCTCAGACTTACATCGGAGTTGAGAGACCCGGAAGCCAACAGAACCCATCTTGACGTGAGTCTGTCTACATGGGAAGATAGGACTCATCGGCGCTGGTTTCAGCGCGCTTCATGGGGTCATAAGACTCGTCGGCACTGGTTTCAGCGCGCTTCATAGGGTCGTAAGATTCATCTGCGTTCGTCTCTGCCCGCCTCATTGGAAGGTATGATTCGTCGGCGCTGGTCTCGGCCCGTATCCTCATGGGGAGGTAGGATTCATCTGCACTGGTTTGAGCTGTTTACACTTAGCTTATGAAACCAATCTCCAGCCAAAAACTCCAGTCTATCACCGACGTACCCTGACCTGAATGAGGAATAGCAGGCAATGCAGCAATGCAAGCCGCCAGTGCCGTTAACAAGACGATCACCTTCATGTTGTAATATACGTAGACTTCGGCGAGTCAAGAGAATGCTTTAGAATTGTAGTGTGAATCAAAAAAATAATTGGTCTGAAAGAACAGGAAAGGTCGAGGTCTTCTAGTTGGAAAATGGCGAACAGCGTTGGAGCTGTCTCTTATGATCGACTCCCCGTGAGACAAATCGGTCACGCTTGAAAATAGTGGAAAGCTTTCGGTTCGTATACAATGCCATCAGGAGCTGGAACCTTGCAAGCTGACCTGCGAGATAAAAGAGGCAGGTGCATTTAGATGACTCTCGCAACTGACGAATCGTGGTTTCACCAGTCAGAATTAACAAACTGTGGCTTCACTTGCACAACTTCCAAGACTCAATTTTACAGGGTAGTCAATGGTGGCAAAAAAGTAAGCTAAATGTTGAAGGATCTGTCCAGTCTTCATTGGCATTTGAAGTAGCCGTTTAGAGTCATGCTTACGAGCACCTCCATCGCTGACCTTCCGAATTGAAATTAGTTTCCCGCCCCACAGCCATAGGATCTAGTTGCATAGAGCTTGAACGGAGACCCAGAGACTTCGTGGTCTTTCAGCCGGCGTTCGAATTCTCAGCCATACTCTCGACATCGAACTTGCTGCCTTCTCTTGTCCGTACAGGTTAAACTTATCCAGGTCGAGATTCTAATCCCGAAGGGTGGAGCAATGAGCCTTCATTCAAAAGTTTGTTTCCCAGATTCGGGTACAAACGCAATGCGAATTGTTTCGTGGTATAAAGGTTTGTTTACTATGTGGAAAGTGGTTTAGTTTTGTCATACCCACTGAGCGCCAGAAACTTGCTTTCCTCGCTGACTTCCCATTGATCTTCATCGAAGGCAAACTCCATATGCAATGCGACGACAGGGGCACACGTAACAGGGTGGTGTATTGGTATCAGATTGGTTCGTCCGGACTCGAAAAGCGAGCCACTGTCAGACATTGGACTTGGTCAGCGGGGGTTCTTCCGGCTGGGTATAGTGTTGACGCTCGAAGGATTTGGATGCACCGACACATTCGTCCTCCGGCCATTCAAGTCGTCTGTTTCACCTCTGACGGAGGTAAGCTCAATACGCCATCGCAGATAAGATGACCTTCACTGTACAGACCTTCCAGATCTGGCGGAAAGGATTATCATCGGCACATGTCCCGCTTGGGTCGTTAGGCGGGACATGCCCACATCTGTGACTGTGGCGGAGTTTACAGAGCTTTGTGATCCCTCACGAATCCTTCCAGCTTTGATCTGAAGACGCTATCTCGTAGCAATTTGCAACACCCACTCGGCGTCTTCCCTTCATCTAGTTTCGTCTACCATTTGGTCGTTCGGACGGCTCAATTGTCCTAGTCTCCTTCACCTGCAAATCTCATTCTCTGCTGTTGTCGGGCCTTTGACAGACTTCCTATCTGCCTCACCTCCAGACGCTATCGAGAATTCAGCTCAAAGATGGGCCGAAATCACAAAGAGTACGCGCCTGTGTACTCTGATGAGAGTCTAGCATCGAGTCGTGAAGCTGTCGAGGCCGCAGTTGCAGCAGCAAACATACGGCACACATCAAAGCTTCATAGATTCGGGGTGTGGACTCTCCATGCCGTCTTGATCACCATCTACACCGCAATCTTTGCTGTTTCATTATTGCCCAACAGACCATTTTCGGGAGTGTTTAGTTTGATAGATGGTAGGTTTCACATTGTTGAAATGTCTGCTTTATCCCAGGCCCAGAAACTCACTATGGTACAGCACCGCCAAAGGCTGTCGGCGAGAAGACTCATCTCGAAGTCTTCCCTATTCAAGGTCCGCCACATGGCAAATACACGGGTGAACCAAGACCAGAGGTAGATCAAGCATGGAGGGACTTGTTACAGTGTAGGCCACTACTGAATCTACATGGAAGTACATGTACTAATCTGAGTCGCCTACCTCAGATAACAATATCCGAGTTTCCGAAGATTGGGTACATCGTTGGGGACGGGAGCATGAAGCGGTCAAGCTACCCGATGGCGGGTATCTTGGCATGCTCAGTGTCTTCCACGAATTGCACTGCATTGCAAGTTATCTTCTGCCCACGCCGATTATCTGAGTAGAGTTAACCAGATGTACAGAAGCGTCTCTACCAAACGCTGTCGCCCGACTACTACTTTCCCAACGCAACCAAGCAAGAAATCGCTACAAATCGAGAGCATAACCGTGAGTTTGTCAACGAGACCGCATAGTCGTCGAACCTGGGATAGTACTAATCAACACCACAGAGCACTGTCTTGAGGTCCTCCGCATGGGTGCAGCCTGTCGTGGTGACATTTCCATCATCACCCACATGTGGACTGACATCGACGCGAAGCCCATCGTGAACCAAACGGCGCCTCACCAATGTATTGACTTTGACAAGGTCATGGACTATTCTCGGGACAATACAGTAGATGTATATAAGGACAACTATATCGTCCACCCGAAGTTTGGTGCGTTTGTCACTCCGCAATGATTAGAATGTGCGCTCACCATTAGTAGGACCTTCCTTTCCCAAGGGCAATAGCATTAAGCCCTTTAAGGAGCAGGGAATGGGGCACCATCATTAAGGGCAGGGAGGTTAGGCAGTCCCTACACTTGATCAAACGTCGGATGGGCCATGTTCATGGTGCCGCAACTTCCGATTATAGGTCATGCCATTCAATGCTGCAATAGTGGCCTCTAGCCATCAGATTTGATATGTTCATTACCTTGAACATGGCATCGTTTTTCGATTTGCACGATAGATAGCGCCGAGAGAACTCCACGTGTGCGTTGATTGAGACTTCAGCAAGGCAATGTGGCGATTTCCTAACAATCTATAAGCATTCATGTTGGGTTGTGACGTTGGGACTCGGACAATAGGCAAGGTACCTTGGGCACTTAGCTCATTACTGTGCGGAATCACCTTTGAGGATCGGGCAGGTAAGGTACCTTTTAGGCTGCCCCACTCCACACCGAGAAGATACCCAGATTAGCCTTATCTATTGGTTGTTGACCGTTGGTCACGTGACCCCGAAATGTCTGCATCGCAAAGCCAGAAAAAAAAAGTTTCTCCAGCCCAGGCGTTGCACATTGATCACCACCCACCGACAATTCTACGCTCAACCCGACCACATCCACCCGATTTCCACGATGCATTTGATGTACACTCTCGATGAGGCGGGCAGCCGTGTCTACACCCTCAAGAAGGTTGTCGACGGCAAGGTCACCAAGTCTGCTCACCCTGCCCGCTTCTCTCCCGATGACAAGTGGTCGCGCCAGCGCGTTACGCTCAAGCGTCGCTTCAACCTTCTGCTTACGCAGCAAAGTAAGTTTTGCGCCTCTTACTCGACCGGCAACCAATCTAATCATGGTTTTTCCAGAGGCCGAGTAAATATGTAAATCGCACAAGAAGCAATCGAAAAACCATACATCCGTCCACTCGATCCCAGCTCGTTCACGACACCATGCGCCGCTGAGAACGACTCATCCACAACAAATAGAACATGAGACATGGTCTGGCGCGGAGGGAGGGTCAACGAAGCCCTTGACAGCTGTTCAAGGCTCGTGAATACAAGCCCAGGTATACAAAAATCGGCGTTGGGGAAAGGCTTGCATTCAGGGGATCATCGGAGTCTTTTTACTAGGTCCGTGTTACGATAGATTGCTCTGCAATTCCTACAATCAGAGCGACACATCCAAAATCCAACCTCGTTTTTTTCTTGTTCCCATTCCGTTCGACTTTTTGCGTTTCGCGGCCCTCTTCCTGCCTTTTAAGGGGTCTATCATGGTATCATGCAGAACATATAAACATCAGCTTCCAACCCACCTACTGCCTCTCATCTCCTCCTACGACCGTTAATGTTTCTTCCTGGACCCAGTCGCACCTTGCCGTTGGCACCGGTTTGGCGGTCACCTGTGAGAATGCTCGGAAGGTAATCCTCGTCCATGAGATCTCTCCGCCGAGCACGGCGATTGTCACCCACAGCCCTCTCGTACTCCTTTTGGTCTTCCGCGAAAATGAGGTTGGTACCCCAGTTGTTCTTGCCGCCGACGTTCTTGGAGAGCTTGCCGCTGGCTGTGCCAGCTGAAGGCTTGGGAATACTGAAAACGTTGCCTCTGTTGTTCCACTGGAAGTTGCGCTTCAAGTGAATCTTGAAGGTGCCGTCCTCATCGGTCGTGCAAGACGTGCGAATCAGAGTGGCCTGTCCACAGCTAGGGCAAAACTGGCGATCCATCTTCTTGCAGACCTGGAAGCACCCGTGGCACCGCAGGACCCACGTCTTGAGTTGGGTGATGCGCGACATGGACGGCGAGAGCAAATTGAGCCCAATTCTCAGAGCGACGTTCTGCATGGCGTAATCGGAGGTAAGGATTCCGACCTTGATGTCAATTGCAGGCGCAGTCGGCTGCAGCAACTTGCTGTCCTTCTCCTTATGCTTCTTCACATTGGACGGTGTAATCCAACCGTCTTCAGAATCTGATTCCTCTCCTTGGGCCTCATTGGCGCCAGCGACGCTTGTGACAGCTGGATCGGATGTTGTCTTGTCGTTCACCTCGAGGTTGTTCATGTCTTGTGTAATCTGTGCCGTCTCAACGTCCGATGACGAGGCTTCCACTGTCGCATTCTGCTGAGTTTCGGTTTGTGTCTCCTCGGCGCTCTGTTCGATTGAAGTGTCCTCCTGGACTTGAGTGGGCTCCGCCACTTCATCAGTTTCGGTCGCGGGCTTTCCCTGCGACTCACTTTCAGCCTCGGCTTCTGGTACCGGCGTCTCGGCGCCGGATGCCTTGTCGTTAGAAGACCGCGCACCCGGCTGTTTCCTCAGATTCTGGTCGCCTCCGGTCTTCTCAAGCTCAAGCTCGTAGGTCAAGGCAAGCAAGTGCAAATCAGGTCTGCTGAGAACCTCGAGATCACCAGACCGGCGTGCAAAATCGGACACGAATTTGATGCTGTCGGGGCGGGGGTTGCGAAGTTTGACGAAAGGCATGAGGGTAGTCTGAACTCGAGTGCGGGTGCTGACATCGCGAATTTCGTCGACAATGGAGGGTAGCATGTAGAGCTCATCGGCCTGTGCGATTAGAGTGCTGACAGGAGGGTCGTTCTTGATCAATGGGCCGGTATCCAGAACAATAGCGTGTATGGGTTTGCGCTCCTCGGCCGCAGTTGGGCTTGCGACCGCCGGGGCGGCCACGGCATCGGTGGACATGATGGCTTGTCGACTTTTCGTTTGTGGTGGGAATGTTATGCGCCGAAAAGCGGCGAAAAATGCTCTTTCGGTGCAGACAAATCGAGAGTGTCGAGGCAGCAGGCAGTGAGTGCGGCGAATGATTTTGAACGGAATGGGAAATTTCTCTATTATCGCGGGGTTGTGGTGGGGTGTAGTTTTTTCTTCGATAAGACAGGCGCCCAGGCCACCCCTCCCTTTTGGCTCGGTCAAGCCCCGCACCGCCACCCGGCCACACCTTGACCGCCTCATCTCACCGAGTATCCCTGACCGCATTGTCGGTGTAGCGCATCCAAATTCGGACAGAATGTGAAGCATTTGTCCGGTCGTTCAACCAACTCACACACTGTGTCTTATGTCATTGTCATAATTGATCAGGCTCTTGTTACTTACTTTTGCAGGAGGCTGTGATAAAATAGGCGCCACGGATTAGTGTAGACTGCCTTCACTACCTAGACTAGACTGTTTTGTCGAGAATCAACAGAAAGACTTACATTCTCTATGCGAAGCACATAGTACAGAGTTACTAGACAATCGAGGCAGAAGTTGACCGCCGCTAGATCCTAGAGGGCGCTCCATGTCTACGACACATTCGAAGGATAAAAGAAGCCAGATTCCATGTGACAAAGAGAAGCTGCGGTGAAGCGCTCATACTCCTAGAGTACAAGAGGGGCTTGACTCGGCTCTCGGCAATACTAAGCTTCTCTCTCCATGAGGCAACCCACGACAAAAATTAAATGACCTTGGTCAAATGTTCTTATGAGTCTGGTATGCCTTCAAAAAGAGCGTCCAGTATTGGCACCAATGCGATTGCGTGCGAAATGCAGAAACAACGTATTTTGGAGGTTACTCATTCGCGGCTTTCGGTGCCGGCCATCGGTATCTATCTCAAAGCCGACAGCCGGGGACTGTCTCTTACACGCTGTTTAGCCTCTATGAAGTGCACATATTCAGATTGTGTCGCGTGACTGTAAAGGCTCTAAATAAGCCTCTACAGCTGTGGCTAGTTTCAAGAACTGCTTCTTGACGCTCGAGCACAATTGAGCGTTCAGTCCCGTTCGCAAAAGTCTTAGAGATCCAAGTTCATCTAGGCCAACTGGGTGCCGACAGCCGCCCCTTGTGCCGGAGTGGTATTGTGTGGATGGTTCTCCAAATGACGGTGGTCTCTTCACCGTTATGTTGGCATAACCCATGGACAGGGGACAGTTTTGCAGGAGACTCACTTTTGCCTGCTAAAGTCAAGATATTCCGAGCTCAGCCTATCGTTGAATTTGTTGTGTCAGCTTGAGTGGAATCGCTGCATGGCTTTTACGTCTCACAGACTCTCAAGGTCTCTTAGGGTATTTGTGGCGTTGGGTGTTCTAGAAACTAAGTTCCTCGCCCTAACATCCCACCGGAGAGATTTTCGGGGAGCTACGTTGGCAAGTTGGCAGTACCTTAGAAGGGTAGCACACCCCACTGATTAATGCCCAGCAATGATGGATCGGGTTGCTCAGCTCCGATACCAAGGAACTAATGTCACCTCCCAAGGCTCCCAAGGTCAGAGACACCCCCGAAAGGGTCCGGTTACGGCTATGACTTGTGCCAGGAACGTACATGGAATGGAGTGTAGGTATTGTCGCCTGAGAGGGACCGTTGCCGGGGATTGAGGATTGAGCAGCGAGAACAAGTGTGGTGCCGAGAGACACATGCACAGTTCACAGTTCGGTCACGGAGCGCCTCCCAGAGCCAATCTCCTCCGTCTCCTTCTCTCTTCCCACGCATTCCCCGTCCTCCGTATCCCCCAACTGACTGCCAGTCCTCACACTCTGCCCTACCTTACGTCAAGTGAGCTGGGACAGTCACGCACAGTGTGGTTGTTCCCCGGATTTCTCCTGCATAATTACCTAGGCATAGCTCGGAACGAATACAGTAGCTAAGTAGACACGCTGCCGGCTGCGCGCACGCATTCAAAGAGAGAGACCCACGCCGATTGTTCTCCGGAATGGGCAACCCATGAGCCCTAGACTGAGCCTCATCTGTCTCTCCATGTCTATTGTACGCGCCGCCGAGTTCCGGTGAGCAACGAGGGCGCGCGCCTATCGAGGTAATTGGGAGAATGGCAGACCTGTACGGTAGCAACACCATCGGCAACAGCAGCGTCAACAATAACAACAACGACAACCTTGGACATCACCTCCGACCCGACAGACCACCGACAGCCGCTGCCACCACCACCGCCGCCGCCTCAACGACGGCAAACATAACCGCAGACCTGGCCGCCGCCGCAGCTACCACCGTGACAGCATCAGCCGCAGCCTCGTCCGTGTCTCCGAAACCGACAAAGCGGTCCTCGGCGACGACATGTGTCACCTGCCGGGCCC